CGGATAAGAGATTGGTACCCCAAAGCGTAACAGACGGACGGACGGACGGAAATACCGATTACTATATACCCTCCCACTTTTCAAGGGGGGGGGGGGTATAATAACATTTATGATGAAATTTTAAAAATTTTGAATTAATATGATCCAAGGTCAATGGTTCCTGTGGGGTGGTGGTTATAAAGTGGAAATGCATTTTCTCTTTGTTACTCTGATCTACCTCTGGTTATTAAGTAACCATAGTAAGCATGCAAAGTGTATAGTCATGATAAATTATGATGCCTCTTTCAAAATTATGAATTTAACTAATCAAAATCAATTATTGGAACGTTGTTACATGATACTCTGGTGACCTATGTGGCAACGCACTTTGAAAAAAAAATTTCAAAGTGCGTTAAAATTGGGTCAAATTCAACGCACTTTGAACAAAATTTTTCAAAGTGCGTTGAATTTGGGATACACTCAACACATTTTGAAAAAATATTTCAAAGTGCGTTAAGAATGTACATAAATATTTTTGCCATGGAAACTTTTAAAGCACTTTAAAAAAAATGTGTATAAAACAAAAACTCTATACTTAGATTTTACCATCTTCCCAAGTCAAGGGTTTCTGATCCGCTCTGCTCCACACATGAGGTCTTAGTAATTGAGAGAAAGAATTTGTATTAATTTTTTCTTTCGAAGAACGTTTTAATTTACATGTACTGATTTAACCTCATCGGGAACAAGGAGATGACAAGAAGAAGGTCTCTCAGCCCAACTTTTTTTCTTATACATTGTACATAGCCGTTGGTAGAAAATTGAAAGTGGAAACACCGCCCTCCCCCCCATTAAAAGGTATGCCCTAATTTCCAATGCTTATATATCTATGCAAAACATTTGTGTTGCTAAACCCCCTTCCCAGTACCGATGCCTATGGTACACCAAATACCGTATATCAGGTTTTTTCCGCGTCATGTTTTTTCCGCGAATCCGAACCTAAATCAGTTGTAATGGTTCGGACCGTGGATATCGGCCTGGATAGCTCAACCGGTAGAGCACCTGACTAGTGATACAGGGGCCCCGGGTTCGATTCCCGGTCCAGCCATGCATTTTCTCCTTTCCTGTTACAGATTTGGTGCCGTTGACCACCCCTGGAATTGCAGGTGAAAGTCCTGCCAGGGGCAATAAGAACTTGGGTTGTGTCTTCGAGGGCGAAGACCATTTAAGAAGGGAGGAATGTAATGGTTCGGGCCGTGGATATCGGCCTGGATAGCTCAATCGGTAGAGCACCTGACTAGTGATACAGGGGTCCCGGGTTCGATTCCCGGTCCAGCCATGCATTTTCTCCTTTCCTGTTACACAGTACATTAAATTTACGCGAATCAAATTTTCACTATTTCAAAGTCCCAGTGATTAAATTATTAACAATTGTTTAAGCTTATGAAGGAATTGGATGCATAATGTAAAGTCATTAATCTTGAGTTACTTCATACGGTTGAGAAATAGATCGATCGATCTTCACCTCGTCAATTTCGGAAGAGTCGCTCAGCTGATTACACACCTGTGTTGCGTTCTAACTCTCAAGTCCATAGGTATTATTTTATAAGATTTAAAGAATCATAGTTCATATACTATTCCAAACTGACTAGCAGCTCAGATAATTAGTTTTAATAAGTTCTCGCAAGGAACGTGACCCATATAATTAGCTGGCTTGTCATTTAGTAAACAAACAATTAGGGCTTATACCTATTACCGGTATCTTGCGCTTGTCCTCTGATCCCGCTATTTCTACCCTCTGCGATATAAGCATTAAGAAATGATTCTACTTCAAGAAGAAAACTTTGTATTAAATTTACGCTGTTTTATTTTCCGCGATTGAGAACTCGTCGCGAACAAAGCGGAAATTGGATGCACGCGGAAAAATCCTGATATACGGTATTATGTATTTGCATAACTGATATGACGTTGAAAACTTTCAATAAATTTTTAGTTTGCATATAAAATATATGCATACTGGAAAAATTAAGTACAGCAAAACATATAGAGAGAAAGAATTTTTAAAGTATGGAAGAATCAAAATCGCTCACTCTCACATCCTAAAGTGACCTTATCCCCAAAGAGTTATCAAACAGGTTCAATTACGCATCATACCTAAGAGCTGCAAGAATACTGACCAAGCCATACACATTTTTTTTCAAAGTGCGTTAATATGGTCGATATTAACGCACTTTGAAAAGAAATTAGATTTTTGCAAAGTGGGTTAACTTTGTCCCAAATTTAACGCACTTTGAAAATTTTTTTCAAAGTGCGATATTTTTCAAAGTGCGTTGTAACAGACTTATAAGGCCCATGGACCTCTTGTTTGTTTAATATTCAGTACAGCAGAAAAAAACGATTTTCAAATATTAATGTATTTTCACTATATAACTATGAAGACCAACTCTTACACCAGAACCTCTGGACAAAAATCTCAACGTGTGGAAAGGTTTCTTTTTTCATCACATCTATGCATATAGTTTGATTTATATCTATGAACAAATGAGATGGTTTTCAAATGATAAATGATTTTTACTGTACATAACATGTTTTAGAATTCCCAAACCTAAAACCAGAATCCTTAAACATGGGGCCATGAATTTCACAATCTTTATAGCGTCTTTATGCCTCCTAAACCACTGGAAAAGAAATCCATGATACTTTCAAAGATTCTTTATGATATCATGACATTGAGCACCATCTATTTTAGTTTTTGGTCCGACACTTTTTTCTGGTCTCCCAAAGAAAAACATAGCCTATGCCATTATAACCATATGAAAGGTGTGGGGTATCATTTATATCTAGTTATACTCCCGCTTGAAATGTATATAGTGATCGGGATGTCCGTCTGTACGTCCGTCCGTTTGTTACGCTTTGGGGTTCCCATATCTTAACCGCAACTCCCAATACACCACTGAATGAATTTTGAGGAGACTTTTACAGAATTTGTGTAAGAAAATGCCATTCTGCATCTTCTATTTTACTTTTTTATCGGTCAAATATTTCGGGGTTCCCATAGCAAAGCATGGATACTACCATTCTTTCAATAATATTTACGAGTACCCATGTCATCCGCACCTCCTCCTTTACCATTGAACAAAATTTAATGGTACTTTCACAGATTCTTTATTACATAACGTCATTGTGACCTCCTTTTTATTATATCCCCGCTTGAAAAGCGGGAGGGTATATAGTAATCGTTAATTCCGTCCGTCTGTACGTCTGTCCGTCTGTTACGCTTTGGGGTACCCTTCTCTTATCCGCAACTCCTCTCATACCAATGAAGGAAATTTAATAAAACTTTCACAAAATCTTTATTACATATTGCCATTGTGCATCTCCTATTTTACTTTTTGATCTGACATATATTTTGAATTTTCCAGAGCAAAACATGGATAGTGCCATTATATTCATATGGGAGGCGGGAGGTATTATTTAGTGAGCTCATTGCTCACAGTACCTCTAGTTTACTTTTTGATCTGATACTTATTTCGAGTCTTCCGGAACAAAACATTGACTTTGTCATTATAGTGGTATGGATGGCGGGGGATTCATTTAGTTACCTCAATGCTCAAGGTACCTCTAGGTTTGATTTAACACAACCCATGGCAATATATAAAATAATTGATTAGCTCAAGACTGAGAGACAGTCATCCGCAATCAATTATCATCGGTTTGGTGAATTTTTTTAACAACGAATAAATATTAATGTTTTCCGAAACATATCCATGAATTATTAAATCTTTTTAAATTACATTCAGGAGCGGAGAACTTCTACATGTAGGTGTTTATTCAGTATTATTTAAAAACCAATCTGAAAACGTACGTTCCTCATTGTTTCCGAAGACCTACATTGGATGAAAGAAATTAAATACACATTACACCTAATATGAAACTTTGGACATTTTTATTATGGATATCACATATATTAGGTAAGTATTTTTTTTACTATTAGTAAAATTCTTCTTCTACAGCACATTTTTGGGGTGCAGTGGGTGGATGTTTCGTGTTTAATATTTTCATACCCCCGCTTGAAAAGTTTAGCTCGTCCGTCTTTTTCACAGTCTTTGTCACATGTATCATTGTGCGCCTTCTATTTTACTTTTTGACTGGACACATTTTTCAAGTTTCCCATAACAAACATGGACTTTGCCATTCTTTCTGTAACACTGAAGGGTATCAATCTCTTATCTGTAACTCTTATACCACTGAATAAAATTTTTGCTTTCTCACATTCTTTATTTCATAATGCCATTGTACATCTTTTATTTCAAATTTTGATTTGACACTTTTTTTTCGGTTTCCCAGTGCAAAACATTGCATTATATAATTCATATCAGAGGCAGCGGAGAGAGATGGGGACATTAAGTATTTATACTACATCTAGTAATAACAGTTTATAAGGTGAGGGTTTTGCTACATAGTGCCACTGTGACCTCCTATTTTACTTCTTGGTTGGTCGGGTTTTCCATAGCAAACCATTAACACTGTCATTTCTTCTATATTATTAAAGGGTACCTCTATAGCTCTTATCCGCTCCTTTTCCTATGCCACTAAATAAAATTTCACGATCAATTCACATATTCTTAATTTATAATGACATTGTGACCTCACATTTTATTTTCTGATCAGACACTTTTTGTGGTCTTTTTGCCATTATATAAAATTATACAAGAGGAGGGGGAATGGGGTTATAAAGCTCAGTGCACATTGTAACTCTGTTTTTTTTTTTACATTTTGAAGGAACTATACAAACCAACCGCATAAAGACTTTTTTTGAAATGAACACGCGCTACAGAGATTTATTACCAATATCTGAGTTGAGGTCTATGGGAGGTCAACGGACACTTGGCGCATGTGGACTCCTGTGCGCCTTAGACGAGTTTTGTCAAACTATTTTCTTCAAAACACAGGAAAAGAAATGTTTCCTTTACAAGTATTCCATCTGGCAGCATACTGAACTTAAACAAGAAATCGGTGTTAACATGTACGAAATAACCTGTAAGTTTCCTTCCAGAAAAAAATACCAGTGATATACTAAAATTCATTAATTATATATTTTGATATTATAAGAAAACAATCTTTTTCTGGCACATAACATTTTACTGAATTGTCAAAAAAGGAATATATTGCTAAAATTCTTTCGTTCATAATAATGTTCCGGAATTCTTACAAACCATTTTAATGAGTTTCAAAATTTTATTGCACCTTTCAGCACCGTGTACTGGTTTTGGTTTCGTGCACAATCGGGCAGGTGGTCTCTGTTTCCAGATTTTTGGGAGTCAAAATTGGACGTCTACCTGGGCAATGGCGTCGTGTAAACAGTTTGGCGGATCATTGATTTCTTTCGATACAGATCAGAAAATAGGATTTGTGACTACTTTTATAAGTAATCATTGTGAGTAAATATTTTTTTTAAACCATGTAGCTCAGAAGTAAATCAGAAACTTACTATACAAGACCTTTAACTAAATACATGTATATTCCCATCAAAGGTTGAATCTTATTTTAAATGTTACGTGACCAGAAATTTTAATGTTAAATTCGTTGAATTTAGAACTGGTTGTTTTGTAATGGTTGAGTTCAATAAAAACAAATTTTGTAGAATTTTATTTTAAATGTTGAAAAATTATCATATTGGTCAATCTTCCAAAGAGAGTTCAATATAAAAATATTTGTTGACTATATGATTGAATACTCAGTGATTCTTAGACCTAAAATATTGTCTGAGATCCAACATTATTGTAAAAGTAAACTTACGTACGTTTTTTTCACCTGGATGTGACCTTTCAGGAGAACATGAAGATTTACTTTTTCTACTTTTGACTTGAAATGTATTGAGAAATTACAAATCGATATTGATAATTCATTTAAACAGTTCTGTAAAGTTATTTCATCGCATCCCACTTCCATTCCGGTCAATTGACATTCAGGTACTAGTACATAGAATTTAAGGGGGCATGTGGGGAATCTGCGGACCCCACCCCTCCATTTTCTGAATGTAAATATTTACTATTAATTTGAAATGACAATGTTTGGATCGTTGTTTTCCTTGGACACCCCCCAACCTTATAAAGTTTTCAACGAATTCTTTGGAAAGAGGGCGGCGGGTGGGGGAGTCAAGTATTATTTTCAGGTAAGTTGTCAATTTTCCCCTAGTATACCCCTTTCCCCTATTCTTTAAAAGTACGTGATACCAGCCTCAATTTTTCCTAAGCCTTACCATAAATAGATAAAATTTCAAAAAATTGAATAAATGCAACTGCTTATTTCTAACTTGTTTCAATTAATCATTGAATCATATTGTAATTCTATATATTTTTCAGTGAATACGATGATTTAGCAACCTTCAAAGTAAAATATTTACCTCTCCCTTCGGGCTCGGTGAATATTATCTTCCACAAGTGGCTAATCATTGTATTGACCTTTAAAAAGCTTACGTTATTGTTACAATTTAAAAAGAGATTAACAAAGAACAAAACAGGGTAAGAGCTCTCTTTGCACACTGATTTGGGGTGTCTTTTAGAATGATGCAACAATTTATAAATTGTAAACTTTTTATCCCCCGCCACAAAATAAGGATTAGTTCTAAGCCATGGAATACACAGCAGTCAAGGGAATGTCAGAAATTATGTCAATTTTCGAATATTATCATTTTTGCAATTTTGATCAATTTTACAGTACATTTTCTTTCAGAAAACATAGAGCACAAGCTTGTCAATCTACAAAATATATATTTCATATTTCATATACTAGTATCAGAAGTATCTTGTACGTAAAAATTTGAGAAATATGTTCCCCCATTGTTTTCCGTAGTGAATAGTATTTAAAATTTTACGAAATTCCACCATATTTGAGAAAATTCGTAGAAACGTCCTAATTCTGCACTCTCTTGTCGCATCCGTATAAGCTTTGAATAAAAAATAGTACTGGTTTTAAAACAAGCATCAATTTAAGTTCTTTTCTGTGTTCTGATAGAATCAAATAAGGGGCCAGCTTAAGCGATTACCATACCTTGTCCTTTAATGAACTAAGTTAATGAAAAGGAATTTGGGGAATGCCGAACTTAAGAGGGAAAGATATAGAATAGAACGACCTCGATCTTGTCTTTACCTCGCAGTTTTTGTAAAAATTATACACTGTTTACATTCAATAAATACATATGCTTCTTTATTTTCAAAGATGGCTCGAGTTTTCAAGGAAGAACACTCCAGATAGGACTAAACAATACCCAAGGACCAGAAAAATACACATGGAAGTGGTCGAATGGAGTTAAATTGTCACCAAATCTTTCCATTCCATTTTACGTAAATAATTATGATGGCTTGATGCATCCTTGTGCAGTTGGACATTGTGGGGTGCTGCATGTTGGAAAACTCACCTATTCCGTGTATGATAATTGTTGTCTTAAAGCTTCATCTCTCTACATATGTTCAAAAGACATTGAGAAATGATGTGATCCTCTTTGAAATACATTATGACAAAACTTACTCTGACGTCAAATGATGCCGTGTGTAAGTTGCATTAATCTACCAAACCAAGCCTGGACAGTACTGATTTTAATGGAGAAGATTTCATTCCTAATTATCTTCAATGTATCCATTAAATATAGTTTTTAAATTTTGTTGTTATTCTCGCGAGAACTAGATTAACAAGCGATGAATTGTGGCTTTAGAATAATTATTGAATGCATGTGCAGTAGTCCTAATTTTCTAATCGCCCAAACGTTGTCGCTATAGCTCGCCGCCCCCCTTTGCTATAAATTAAAAGTCTAACATTTCTGATGTTTTACTGAGTGGACATAAAAAAATCGATGTTTGACCGCCGAGTGAGATGTTAGACCTCTCGATGAGATATTGGACCGCTCTTACATCTACGTCACACACTGGGCAGAGCTTAATCTCGTTTGCATTCGTTGGGGTTTAGACAGTGCAAGATACATATATGTCAAATATACTAGTATTGAAATGTAAGGTGTAGCAAAACTGAGGTACCGTGTCGCAGTAAGTGCTGGCTGCTTGAAAAAGATCTTTCACTGCTCAATGGCCATGAGTGCGGAGTATAGGAAAACATTTGTAGCTCTCAATCGGCAAGTGGTGCCGTCTCCATATGCGTGGAAATTTTCCGAGAGGGACGTTAAACATGATACAAGCAAGCAATCAATCAATGGTTATTATAATCATCAGAGCACTTAAGCAGTTTGATGTACAGAAGTAAAGAGTAGGACTCAGGGCACCAAAAAAAAATAAATTGAAAACTATGCAAGCGAATTAAGTCAAAAGAGAATTTTCAAAGTGTAAAGCAATAACTGGTATACTTTATAAAATTTAAAAATGTTATCTGAATCACAAGCAGCATAATTGATGAGAGTAAGGTCCTGAAGATCAAATATGAAAAGATGAAAAGAAAAAAAAATAATAAGTATAATGTTTCCAGATGAACTAAATTGCTTACAGAGTTAAAAGAAGTAAAATCAAATGAAATAGACTTTTATCCTCTATACATAGTTTACCTATTTTTGACATTTTTTTGATAAAAGCCTTTAAAAATACAATTTTATGCATAGATCCATGAAGCATTGGCAAAATAAATATTTCACAGTTTAATTGCGTTTACATTTGATATCAAAAAAAAAAAAAAAATAATTTTATTGGTTTTAATTTTAAATTTTTTCCGCGACCAGGTGTGTAATAAAACTTTTTTTTTATTTTTATCTATGTATTACATCTCTCTTTGCTTAGTATCTTTTTGTAGTTAAAATCAAAAGGTCTGTCAATGAAATATGTGACGACAACGAACAGTATTCGATGACCATAACGAAAAGTATTCGAGCTTAAAAGCCCATTTTGCATGACAAAATTGGAGCGGAGCAAACATGAACCTCCAAAACATCAGAGGTGGAATCAGGTGGCATGAGGAGTGAACATCCCCTGCTGACAGGTCACACCCGCCGTGTGCTTCTTGTCATACTCCTTCGGGACTTTTCAAGTCAATTCACAAAATATCCTTTTTCACTAAGCATATTTTTAAATTTATTTTACATGAGCAAAATATCGAATTTCTAAGTTAAAGAATACTGCTGTAAATGGAAAAAATATCAACACGACAACTTCTCTACAAACTGTGAATGGGTTATTGTGTATAACGATTTTGAAAACAATTGTGATACGTAAAATTAGGCGGTTCTTCGAATGTCAACTGGATTTGTCTAATAAACTAGTTTTACCAGTATTGTTATATGGCTGTGAAATATGGAGCACGAGCAATTTTTTATAATGTAGAATGGATAACTGCTACAGTCAAACTAAGATTAAAATATCAATACATTCAAAAGTGGAATAGTGAAGTTCAAGAATCTTCAAAAAGTTTAAATTATAGAATTTTTAAAACCAGTTTAAATATTTAACACTGTTATCATATAAATTTAGAAAAACTTCTGTTAAAGGTGCATGGACACAGATTTGAAGTTAATACTTATTGTATATCACGACTTACAAAATTTGATAGCATTTCACACAAAAATATATTAAAAATTTTATTTCATCTTAAAGTTATTGAAACTTACATTTCTTGGTTTGGTTTGATTGACACACCCTTGCACTCTCACAAATTTTACTTTTATTATTGATAATTATACCTAGTAAAAGTGGCAACTGACCGGAATTTCAGAGGGCCCGGGCTCGAATCACGGTCTGGTCCGCTACAATTGGTGCCGTACCATGCCCTGGAATTGACAGGTGAAAGACCAGGGCCCAGGGATGAGTCTGGGTTTGGGTCTTTGGAGGGCCAAAGACATTTAAAATGCAGATGTATATTTCTTTTATCAGACCTCAACTGGAATATGCTGTTGAAGTTTGATCTGGGTGTACAAAGGCAGACATTGAAAAGCTTGAGAAGGTTCAATTATTTGCTGCTAGAATAGTAACTGGTCTTACACTAATTGCTTCCAAAAATTCACGTTATCTGGAAACTGGATGGGAACATTTGGAAAATAGAAGAAATCGAACTAATCTAGTAACAATGTACAAAATACATAACAATTTAGTACCCACTTACATTCAAAATATAGTACCTGATATTAGAGGCAATAATTCATAATACTCTACTCGAAATTTTCTCAATTATTCCTTGCCAAAATGCAGATTAGAATCTTTATATCAGACAGTTAGAAAGTGGAATACAATTTAACTCAACATAAGGGAGGCAACTTCCATTAAAAGTTTTAAAAAATGCTTGTAAATATTGTAAAACCTCCAAAGTATTTTTCTTTTGGAAAGATTATTCACACAAGGTTAAGACATAATTGTATTTTAAATTCTAACCTATTTCGCTGTAATTTACTAGACAATCCGAATTGTCACGTGGACAAATAGAAGATCCCTACCATTGTTTTTTGTTTGTAGAAAATATACAACATTATTATTCAATAATTTGTACATTATAGATGTCCATTTGATGTTATGGGATGTTGATTCATTCTCTGATCAACAAAATGTAGAATTTTTAAAAGTTATTCATACTTTTTTTAAAAGAATGTGGTACATTCTCTGAAAAATTTTAATTTTTGTATATACAGAATTGTATTCTGGTATCAAGAGCTTACAGTCTTTGACACTACCAACTGATTTGTTACTGAAAATAATTGTACTTTATTTTGGCAATGTTATAAAATTTTGTATAAGGAGAAGACTATCTAAGTTGTTGTAGAACTTGTGTCTTATCCTTTTGGCTCTAATTGTCAATAAAATTTGTTCAATTCAATCCCGGTCTGGTCCGCTGCATTTTCTCCTCTCTCGTTACAACTAAAATATTATTTTAAATTTCTAAGTCGGTAGTGGCATCTATGCATGTCATTTTGGTACTGTTTACTAAATAATTTAAAAGTGATTTAAAGATAACAGAACAAACTTAAACGATCCTCAATGAAATCATACTTTGAAGCCATCTAAAAATTAAGTACCGCAAAAGGTGAGAATAGCAGGTAATTGGTCCCTAAATTACTGTATATAAACAGCCAAGGGCGATAACGGGTGTTTTACAGATGTGGGCGACGGCTCTTTAATTATCGTATGCACAATTAAGTTAATTTTTGATAAGGTTTTTTTTTTATGATTATATGTTCTTTGGATTAAGAAAAAAATATACATCCGAGTAACCGAGTACCAGTTTTAGAATTCGATACTCGGACGTTCGATCCAGTACCCGCGTACTCGATGACATCCCTAAAATGAAGTAAATCGATCTCTATTAAATCGAATGAAATGAAACTTTACACATCAACAAAACAATCAGGATTATTTGATTTTATATCAAATAGACAGTATTAATTTTGTGACACCCTGTATTGATGGTTTAAACTATATACGAGTTATCTCGCAAGCTTGAACGAACTATATATGTACGAGTTACTTTGTACTCGATATTCTTTATTACATAATGCCATTGAGCACCTTTTATTTTACTTTTACTTTTTTTTAACCGCCGAAACAGCTGAAAACTTGCCGACTCGGCGTTAAACAATATTCAATCAATCAATCAATCAATTTTACTTTTTGATCTGACACTCAGAGAAAAACAAAGACTTTGCCATTATAACCATATGTGAGGCGGGTGTTTCATTTATATCTAGTTATGCTCCCGCTTGTAAAGTGGGAGGCTATATAGTGATCGGGATGTCCGTCTTTACGTCCGTCTGATACGTTTTTGGGTACCCATCTCTTATCCACAACAAATCCTATAATACTGAATTAATTTTGACGAGACTTTTACAGATTGAATCTTTGTAACAAAATGTCATTGTGCATCTTCTATTTTACTTTGTGGTCGGACAAATATTTCGGGTTTTCTATAGCAAAGCATGGACACTGCCATTCTTTCTATAATATTGAAGATTACCCATCTCATCTGCAACTCCTCTTTTACCATTGAACAAAATTTAATGAAAATTACACAGATTGTTTTTGTTCTGTCTGTCTGTCTGTCTGTCTGTTTGTTTGTTAGTTTGTTTATTTGTTTGTTTGTCCGCAAACTTTAACCTTCGCCATAACTTTTGAACATGAAAGATAGAAACTTCATTTTTGATATGCTTACTCCACTAATTAAGCTCTTTCAAATGACACCAAGGCCAATGACCTTCTGACCTTGAGTGTGACCTATATGCTAAAAATAACTTTTTGTCAGAAAACTTTAACCTTCCCCATATCTTCTGAACCTTGAAAGATAAAGACTTCATATTTGTTATGCATACTCCTCTAGTGAAACTCTTTGAAATGACACAAAGGTCAATGACCTTGTGACCTTGACTGTTACCTATATGCTAAAAATATCCTTTTTGTATGCAAACTTTAACCTCCGCCATAACTTTTGAACCATGAAGGATAGAGACTTTTTATTTGGTATGCATACCCCACTCCTTGTGACCTTGACTGTGACATATATGCTAAATATAGCTTTTTTGAACCTTCACCATAACTTTTATACTATGAGAGATTGAGACTTCCTATTTGGTATGCATACTCCACTCATTAAGTTCTTTCAAATGACGCCAAGGTCAATGACCTTGTGACCTTGACTGTAACCTATACCGGTATGTTAAAAATAGCTTTTTCGAATTTTGTTGC